GGTTTTGCTGTCTACAAGAGATAACCCATGTTTAACTGTCTATAAGGAACACCTAGGTTTTGCTGTCTATAAGGACAGCTAGGTTTTGCTGTCTACAAGAGATAACTAAATTTCACTGTCTATAAGGAACACCTAGGTTTTGCTGTCTATAAGGACAGCTCGGTTTTGCTGTCTACAAGAGATAACCCATGTTTAACTGTCTATAAGGTACACCTAGGTTTTGCTGTCTATAAGGACAGCTAGGTTTTGCTGTCTACAAGAGATAACTAAGTTTCACTGTCTATATGACATCTGGGGTTTTACAAAATACATACCTTAGATACATCCAACATGGCACGGAATTTTTCTTGAATACTTTCAGAATCTAAAAATTCCAATTGTTGTTTGTCAGAATTGATCATCAGGCAAATGAACTATAAAACATATGATGTAGGGAAAATGTCTATTTAACAAATCATAACAGATCTGAACACACTTTATGAAGGAAACTGTTTCAGTGATTATCACGGTAACAATGCTACCAACTTTCTATAATATCAAATAGAGTAGTAAACAGATGAAGGTTACTATTAAAATGACCATACAAACCTAACTGATCTGTATCTTCATCGTCCTCGGTTTCAAAAGCCTTTAACTGCAGAAAACAATCCCTCAGAACCTAAAGTGGATAATAGACAAATGTTTAACTCCTATGGTAAACAAATTAATGAAATCATAAATTTACTACAAGGTAAATAAACAGCTGATTTCCCTTACTGTGGTTTATTTCAACATGTACCAGTATATAAATACAAATGTATATGTTTGTATGGATATTATCAAAAAGACTGTATCAAATCAGTCAAATCCAGTTACCCAGCCATCACTCATTTTGTTGTTCCATTTTAGAGGTTGTCACTAATCTTGTTGTCCAACTATCCAGCCACCATTAATCTTGTTATCCCACTTTCAAGCCACCACTCATCCGGTTGTCCCACTACCCAGCCACCACTAATCTTGTTGTCCCACTATCTAGCCACCACTTACCTTGCTGTCACATTACATAGGGCCTGTTCGTTTATGCGGAACAATCGGTTTGTCCGTTTTTAAATGTAACAATTTCGGGTATAAATCCTGGCGGACCTGCAAATGTTTATGTAGGCCTGGCACGGCTTTGTCAAGGCTCGCCTGAAAGCAGCATTAGATTACTAGGTCCGACCTTATTTCATAAATGAACAACTGTGGTTCGACCGGTTCAACTGTTTAAACGAAAACGGTCCTCGTCACCACTAATCTTGTTGTCCCTCCATCCAGCCACCACTCATCTTGCTGTCTCATTACCTAGTCACCATATTATTGCTGTCCCATTACCTAGTCACCATATTATTGCTGTCCCATTACTTAGTCACCACTAATCTTGTTTTCCCACTATCCAGTCACCACTAATCTTGCTATCCAACTATATCCAGCCACCATAATATTGTTGTCCCATTACCTAGTCACCATAATCTTGCTGTCCCATTACCTAGTCACCATAATCTTGCTGTCCCATTACCTAGTCAACATAATTTTCTGTCCCATTACCTAGTCACCATAATCTTGCTGTCCGATTACCTAGTCACCATAATCTTGCTGTCCCATTACCTAGTTACCATAATCTTGTTGTCCCTCTATCCAGCCACCACTAATCCAGTTGTCCCTCTATACAGCCACCACTTATCCTGCTGTCCAATTACCTAGTCACCACTAATCTTGTCCCTCTATACAGCCACCACTAATCCAGTTGTCCCAATATACAGCCACCACTTATCCTGCTGTCCAATTACCTAGTAACCACTTATCTTGTCCCTCTATCCAGCCACCACTAATCCAGTTGTCCCTCTATCCAGCCACCACTAATCCAGTTGTCCCAATATACAGCCACCACTTATCCTGCTATCCCAGTACCTAGTCACCACTAATCTTGTCCCTCTATCCAGCCACCACTAATCCAGTTGTCCCAATATACAGCCATCACTTATCCTGCTATCCCATTGCCTAGTCACCACTAACCTAATCAAGAGAACATCCCCTGTATAGCATGTTTGTAGTGATACATACCTCTAGTTCATTTTGTTTAAAGGCCAGGTCCTCCTGCATTTTACTTTGTTCTGACAAAGACAGATCTAAGCGATCCGACAGGTCCTGTGCACTGTAACAGACAACATCCACTAACACTACAGCGTTATACACAAGATCACCATATCTATCTGACAATATGCCCATGCCTGCCAATAAGCCCATCCATGTTCTTTTGAAAGATCTGAATTTCTTTCACTGAACCAATGTTCCTGCAATAAGCTCATCTCCCAATATTTGACCTTATATTTTAAGCTAGCCCCTAGGTTTACTACGGGATAAGTATGGTAACTTTCTCAGAATGGCCAAAGGTGTGCCAAGCTTTGGGACATACAGCAGAAGCTACTACATGTGTCAACATGATAAAACATATCTTTTCTTGGGTTAAATTGACTTTAAGATATTTTGGAGAAAAAAGAACAGGATCAAAATAAAATATCATTCCAATGTGTACAATGTATTAACAACTCTTTTTACCTTATTTGAAATTTCAAACTTAGAAAACTAAAAAGTTAAAAAATACTTACTTTTCTTTCCATCCTTCCACTTCTTGCAGTAGCTAAAGGAAAACATAAACAATATATGAGGTGAGATAGAAATGACAAACTTATTTCAGTGTTTTTTATGCAGTTGCAACTGTTGCATCTGATCATGTCACAGATTTCATTACAAGTTACATATCCTAAAATCTAGCAACAACTGATGACAACACTTGGCGCTGAAACCCTATCTGTTGGGGTAATGAAAATTGGATCTGAAAATGAACATTGGAGAACTCCTGCAGATTTGACATAAGATTCCCCAAACACTTGTTTGATAAAACCGTCATTCCAAACTCCTGCTCTGACATATCAGAAACGGGTATGAGAATCTGCAATGGTTCACCCTATGGGGCTCAAACAAGGAAACAGATATGCAATGTTTAAGTGACACTGGTTTATTTTTTATAATTTCATTATATCTAATATGAATTGTATTACAATACATCTGCAGTAAAGGTTCTGAACATGATACCATCTAGTGATAATTAACACTTTTATCAAATCTTATCAAACTATCTGTAAAAAGACCGGGGAAAACATTCACTTCACATGGGAATGGTCAGTCAGTTTTTTAAACTAATATGGTGGAACAATGTTTCAACAGAAAAAGTCTACATACTGGGTATGAACAAGAGATCCAATATGGATGTTGGCATCAACCATAGTGGCATGTTGCTTTTATTGTTGGTTCACTTCTCTTCTTTACCCTTTTTGAATAAACGCATTAGTACCAAGGGGATCATGCAAACCAGGTTGCAACAGCATCTTTCGAGGGCCTTGTTCTATGCTAGATTTTACAATATCCCAAAATGGAACATGCCCACTGACAGATAAAGGGGATCAGGCATACCAAGTTTCAGGATGCTCAATTTTTAGTTCTGATAATAATCTTTATATGCCATATCCATTTAAAAACAAATATGACCTCTTGTCCATTTGTTTTCCTGTTTTGCTTAAAATTTTAAGCACAAAACTAGGGGCTAGGACATCCTGCATACCATATTTCATCATGATCAATAGCAGTAACAAAGTTGTTAACACATGGACTAATCGACGAACAATGGACAACAAATGATTTGAACAGCAAGTTATCTTACATTTACACAGAATACAAGAGATCAATCAAAGGGAGTGTCACATCCTCATGGCTAACAGCTGTGTTTTGGAACTATTACCTGTTGTTTCCTAGTTTCTAAGTGCTGTACTTGTTCAGCAGTGCCCTGAAGTTGTGAGGTTTGATTTTCCAGCTCCACAAGTGTTTCTGAGAGCCTTTGATTTGTCTAAAAATAGAAGATTGCATTTACTAATGAGCTGCGTACATGTAGTAGAATTCTTCTAACAGAACAACCATAGCAAATACAGATATGTATTTCTATAAAACAATTTCCCCTTCATACCAACAGTTGATAAAACCCAGTTTGCCACAGAATATATATATATATATATATATATGCAAGTTACCTTTTCTTGTAGATCACTGAGTTCCTTCAGCATTTTATCCTTTTGTATGATTTTTTTATGGAGCTCTGAGGCACTTTCATGTTCTGACTGTGCATTTTGTTGCTTCTCACGAATCTCCACGGTTAATTCATCCTTCTCCTGTTCCAGGGTTCCCAGCTTTTGTTTGAGCACATCAACATGGAGCTAGAAAATATATTACCAAAATAACAGGGGACTGGTTAATGTCACTCAGATCCAAACAAATTATGTAATTCTCGAAGATCGTGGTCTGTAGAAGGTATTTTTTTTAATTTTAGCAATTTTTTATCCAATTTGGACCCCGCATCTTGCACGAAGGGAGGAAGTCAAGGTATAACTTTCACAACATCTAACTGCCATCACATGATTATAACTTTAATCAAAAGGAACAAAATATACCCCAAAAGGTTCCTTTTCCTCTAAATAAACTACAGTATATTAAAGTTTACCACTCACCATGGGGGAAATGGATGACCCAGGAGTAATGGAATTCAAAATTTTGATAAAGCACCTTAGGACCTTTTCCATCTGTGAAGAGTACTTACATTCTAGCGTATCTGGGTCTGATAAATAATCGAATATTTTGCTTATAAATATATAATTTGGAATAGAAATTCAGGTTTAGCGCAAAATTCTGGCACAAGGAGTTAAAAAGCTAGTGTTGATATACCCAACAATTATTCTATACAAACTTTTTATGATGAGTTTATTACATCGACTGTATTATGTACCAACCATTTATAATAAAGCTGCAATAACATTGATTGTTTTACCCTGTGGTTCTGGAGTTCTGATTCTAAATCTCCAGAAGAGGACTGGTGCACAGTCAGGTCCTTCGCCAGGTCTTTCATCTACAACACATGGAGTACATCTATCAACTGCTGACCATACCGAAGTATCTTGATACAATTCAATCTAATTAGTCCATACATTGACTTGTTTATTCAGGCTTTTAACATTCTGTAGAAGTTTCTGTAAACATACTTATTTTAGCAGTAGCCTTATTTTAGTGCTTTTTGTACTTAAAATATTGTGCTAAATCATGATTGCATTGATTAAGTTTCTGTACATAATTTGCTATCACATATATTGTGAGTGCACAATTCATTGACGCACTAATCTGTTAACATTTGACAACGTATTAAAATCTGAATGTCCTAAATTAGATACATTTAAAGTATATATCAGACAACTCACCAGGGTTGTATAATAAATCAGACAACTTACTTCTTATGGGTTCCAGATCAGTCTAGTTTTTCTGAGTGTTGATACAAAGTATATCAGACACCTTATTCAGTGTATCCGAGATGAATATATTAGATTACTGAGATTTTTTTTTATAAGTGGTAGATAATTTGATATTGTTACTATTTTTGTCAGCGTAGTGCGGAGTGAATCCATGTTGTCCTATGAAGTTGCGTGATCACGTGACATAAGATGCCACAGAAATCTCAACCCTTTGGTAGGATTCCTGAATGTCTAACCCTTAGTTTGGATTGCAACTCTGTTAACACAATGAAGAATTGATCAGCCCACAGACTGCGATTTCTCTGGCATACCCTCACGGTGGGGAAGCCTCTAGTCAATATGATTTATATCAGAATCTCACTTTCTGTTTCGTGCTCTGTAAGTCATCCTCCAAGTTCTCCTTTTCCTTTGTCATGATGAACAACTGCTCCTCCAGGCTTCGGACAACCACTGTTACATAAACAACCTCAATATAGAACCCAACTTAATGCTTCAACAATAATACAATATTGCAAAAACTGTATTTCTCATTATTCTCTAAACAGTTTCCTCACAATGACTAGGATGGATATCATTTTTTCGCCCACTTATATACATGAAAAGTACACGTGTCCTACGTGGGACACAGATGAGGGATGCATCTCTTCATACTGTTTAAATTTCAAGATTACACTTTGTACAACACACTTTTTCCATTTTGTAATATGTTAATTTGTAAGCAACCTTGAAGATTTACCAGGGCAATTTATTGATTGATGTATTTGCTCTGTCAAGCATCAAATTTTAACAAAAATCCTGGCCTCAGTTTCATAAGTTGCATTAAGTAATTAATTTCTGATTTATAATAGATAACATCACAATATTTCAGGTCAACTTCCTTAGGATTTTACCTTAATTTCAGTAATGTTTTTCAATGATAAAACTTGTTAAATTTCCTTAATTTAAGATTATTGTGAATTTTGGAGCCTGGGTAAAAGGTGGGAAAAAACCTCGATGACTATGAAGTTATTGGTGACATGATTCTGTCCTCAGGTGTAGAATTTGGAGCCAGAACTTCAGCAACTCATTTCTGACCCAAAATCCACACCTCATCTAGAACTTCCATATCCCCATTCCTTAGTGTGATAGACTTTAGTAATACTGATGTTAATTACTTGCATTAAGATACCAGGTAATATGTACAGATTTTCGTTCACAATGTTTTATCAAAATGAAATATATAAAGCAGAATACGTACAAACAGGATCCTTTTTCTTGGATTTTTTACCCTACAATAAAATGAAGTATTAATATTAATTAATTTATCCATCAGCTTTCCAAGCATTTAGTTTCAGGCCACAATACAGTATACAAATACAAAGCCTTACATTATCATAAAGTATCATGAAAAGATCTTGAGCTGTTATGAGGCTATGTTCTGGACAGATGTCATACAAATCAAAAGTCAGCTACACTGAGAGGGATTTCAACTACAGTAAGATCGATGACTTGTTCATCAGAAAAAAGTTAATTTAATGCTTATTAATAATATGTCAAAATGTTCTTTTTCATCAATATGATACTAAAGATTTGATCTAGCAAGATGTATTTACGTGATGATGCAGTGTACAGAGGCTTTAAATCAGATGAAGAACCTACCTTGAGCAATCCACAACAGGTCACGATAAATAGTGTGAAGGTCATCAGCATGGTGACAAAGATAGCCATCTGTGGGGACAGACCCAGTGGTTCCTGTTCCAGCAGAGACTGGACCGAGGGAGGTAACTGGAAAATGTACAAGCATCAATAAGTATCAATACAAAATGTAACACACTCTCTTATGATTAACAAATTATAAAGGAGATCATGAAAACCACATAAACTTGACCCCTGACAAACCATTAACCTGCTTGATGAACTATAACCTTACATGGTACCTTGACCTCCTGTTTCTTGTGACCCATCTTAAAGCCTGCTGCATAGTAACCTACCTCGACCCCCTACCCACCCTGTTCTGCGATCCACCTAATCACTTAAGACTCACTCATATATGCAAAGAACTATCTTGATCCCATTCCCTGATTTACTCTGACCTATCATGACCTTCTCGCTCTCTTAATGTGACCTACCTTGACAACCAGAACCTTGAGCCTTGCTTCCATACTCCTGACAGTTCTAACCCACCAGGTGTCTTCTTGGTATGCCTTGTCTTCCTGTGCTCCAATACTCTCAACATCAATTTTTCGGGACCACTGTGGGTCTGTGTTGTATTCCCCTTCCTTTCCTGTCAAATCTTCGGGAGTGGCTGTGGTTTCCTGCTGCCATGGAAGGACTGTTGCAGTTGGTTTGTCCTCCACGAGTGGCGGTGGGATCTCGTTGGGAGAATCTGTGGTAGGTGGAGTGACACCTTGATCTTTATCTGTCTGTAGGTTTGGGACAGACCCAGTGTCAACATTCTGTGATGCAGACCCTGTGTCATCAATATTTGGCAAAGTTTCTGACCGAACCTGTTTATCTGGTTCTTCTTGACTAACAGGAGGAACATTGACTCCATTTTGAGGCTGTCCATTTGTAGATGGCATACTCCCTTGTGACCCATCATGGGATAATACTTTCCTGGAAAGAAAGTCTACAGTTGCATACATGTCTTTGTTTGAGTCTGGCTTTGGAACCAATGTTTCTGAAGAGTCTGGATGTGTAAGGTTCTGATGCACTGTATCTCTGTTTAAAACATTGTTGTCTGCACTGGTAGGTTTTTCTTCCATATCCACACTTACATCCATTGATGACAAAAGTTGTTCAGATACACTCATGGATGCATGCAGATTTTCTGTCACCATTTCACTTGGAGATCCATTTGTTGTATCAGAACTTTGCAGTAGTCTGTCTGACAAGGAAGTTGTCTCACTGGAAGAAAGGCTAGTGGCTTCACTCACAGTGAAAGATGGGTGCTGTGAAATGGATTCTTGAATGTTGGACTGGACAGGTTCTTGGAAAGGTGGCACTTCCAAATGATTGTCAGTATTTAAAGGCTGTGAAGGGTTTGCAGTTACATGTACAGATTCTGAAAAAGAAGCAGTTGGGACAATGTCTAGAGATGAGGAGGGCTGATCAGGGATTCTTGTTTTGAGTTCCTCTATTACAGGTGAAGGTGCATCCATGGCTGTATCATCTAGCATATCAAGAGGGAAAGGTGTCCCATCTATAATCGTGTATCCAGGTGGGGCCTCTGCTTCAGCTGCTTGTGTGGCAGATATATCACTGGCAGATGATGGCAAAAGCTGCTGATTACCTTCTGAACTTTTGAAACTGTCTGTTTCTGCCATTTTTGCACTTTCTGTTGTTTCCTCTTTTACTGGAACATCTGCAAGTTTTTCTTCTGATGCCATTTTGTTCTCACTTGAAGCTTGTCTTCTCTGTTGAACTAACGGTTGTTCCAATTCTTTGATTTCCACCTTTAAATCTGTCTCTTTGATTGCAGGCTCTTCAATCTGTTTTGTTTCTTTGTGGTGTTCTTTTGTATTTTCCTCTTTTTCAATAGTCTCTGTGGGCTGTTCCATTTCTTTGACTCCTGCTGCTGGCTGTTCCATTTCTTTGACTCCTTGATCTACAAGCTGTTCCTCTACTTTGATTCCCTTTGTAGGCTGTTCCATCACTTTGACTCCCTCTACAGACTGGTCTTTCACTTTGACTCCAGCTGCTGACTGGTCCATTTCTCTGACTCCCTGATCTACAGGCTGTTCCATCACTTTGACTCCCTCCACAGACTGGTCGTTTACTTTGACTCCAGCTCCTGGTTGTTCTTTTTTGTTTTCTGTCGTTTCCATTTTTTTCATTGCATCATCTACTTGAGCCTGTACAAAATCTAAAGGTTTTGTCCCATGATGGTCGTGACCTGCCTGTGTACTTTCAGATTTTTTTTCCATGTTATTTTCATCCTCTTTCTGAGCATCTGCAGGTGTGATGGTCTTTACATCATCTGCCTGTTTATCAGCTCCATGATCTTCTGTTTTAGAACCATCTTCTGATGAAGACATTTGTTTCAAGTCCTCAGATTTAGGAGTGGCGACGACTTTGAGATTTTCCTCTGGTAGTAACTGACTCCCATCTTTATCAGTGGTATCACCCTTTGATGTTTGTTCTACTTTCTTTAAATTTGCCTTAACATCTGATATGACATCTTCTTCTTCCTCCTCCTCTTCTTCATCTCCAATATCTGTTTCATCAAACTCTTCCTCATTTTTCTGAACTTCCTCTTCCTTTACCAGTGTAGCTTCCTCTGCAGGTTTGTCTACTTGAGTGGTGTGTTGATGTGTCTGAGCTGCCTGCTGTGCTGAATCTGTGTGTTGGGGTGTCTGAGCCGCCTGCTGTGTTGAATCTTTGTGTTGGTGTGTCTAAGCTGCCTGCTGTGTTTAATCTGTGTGTTGGGGTGCCTGACCTGCCTGCTGTGCTGAATCTTTGTGTTGGGGGGTCTGAGCTGCCTGCTGTGGTGAATCTGTGTGTTGGGGAGGCTGTGCTGTCTGCTGTGTTGGATCTGAGTGTTGGGGTGTCTCAGCTGCCTGCTGTGTTGAAGTTGTGTGTGGGGGTGTCTGAGCTGCCTGCTGTGTTGAATCTGTGTGTTGGGGTGTTGAAGCTGTCTGCTGTGTTGAATCTGTGTGTTGGGGTGGCTGAGCTGCCTGCTGTGTTGACTCCAATTTCTCACCAGAAGCACTCTCCTCAATCTTTCCTTCATATGGTGTTGGAGATTTTGTCAACAGGATTTTATTCAATTCTGTATCAGAAAAAAACACTATAATATTGAAGATAGCAAACTTGACAGCGAAATAAAGCCAGCACCAGTAAATATTCTTTAAAACTGAGAAATCTCATTTAAAACAATGCAATAAAGATTTGGATGTATTTAGTATAATATTATCAATTAACCATTATGACTATGACCATTAAGGTCTAAATTGTTTAACTTTCAAATAGACAAATGTTTAAACTCAATCACTGAAAATGATTTTACAATAAGATATTACTCCTTTTATCAATATTCACGCTCAACTAAACATGTCGGCATGAAATGCTTTTGCTCAGTTACAGCAAAATAAATCTTCAGTAATACAAAAAAGACACTGAATTTTAATTAAGATAACAGTAAAGATAAAAGTAATAGAAAATTTAATTGATAATGATCATAAAGCAGATTATTCTTTTCTTTCAGTGTCAGGAATTTAGACATGCACTTTCTTTTTCAGAAACCATCAAATATTCCATTATTTCAATTATACATACTTAAATCAGCAGATAAAACTGCTTATTAGCTGTTTTTAGTGACCTTGTAACAGTTGTATTTCATTTTAATTTCAATTAAAGATTTGATTGTCATAAAAATTGAATGGGGTCATCGGCCCATTTAGTGAGCTTTCTCCTTGTACTCCTGTTTCCTCCCACCTTAAGACCCCCTGCTATCATCAAGACCAAAAACGTAATAATAAAGAAAGTTTATTATCCTACAATGTATATTCAAGTCAGTCAGTATATAAATATAAATATAACCCTTATTTATTCAACAATAATTGTGAAACAACTTTTCTAACTCGTACTGATGACTCATGTTGGCCAGAATGGATGCGCACAGCGGGTCTTAATGTGGGAGGAAACTGGGATACTCAAAGAAAACCCACATGGTGACCAAATACCCTTTTTTACATGCAATCAGGGAATCGAACCATGGGCGCCTTGATGAAAGGTGAGAGCATTTTCCACTATGCCACTCGACCTGCCATTAAGTTTCAAGTAACACTGGATGAACAACACATGCTCTACAAGTATACCCCTAGTTCTACCGTGACAGTACTTTATGTTGGTTCCATGGATGGGAAATACTAACTTCAGTCCAGTATAACCCTCTAGGTCCCAGAGATCCTGAATCATGGCTTTCGGGAAAATTTGACTTGACCAGAAAATGTATTAAATCAACTAATTGTTCTTGAATCTTTCTGCACATGACGTCTGTTTACAGCCAGCTGTTGCTTGGCCATTTATTTTATACAACCAATCCAAATAAATGTACCAATGTTAATTGATTAGTCAATGAACAGTACCAATACAGTATTCGTACAAATACAGTATTAGTGATTAGTCAATGTACAGTACCAATACAGTATTAGTGATTAGTCAATTTACAGTACCAATACAGTATTAGTGATTAGTCAATGTACAGTACCAATACAGTATTAGTGATTAGTCAATTTACAGTACCAATACAGTATTAGTGATTAGTCAATGTACAGTACCAATACAGTATTAGTGATTAGTCAATTTACAGTACCAATACAGTATTAGTGATTAGTCAATGTACAGTACCAATACAGTATTAGTGATTAGTCAATTTACAGTACCAATACAGTATTAGTGATTAGTCAATGTACAGTACCAATACAGTATTAGTGATTAGTCAATTTACAGTACCAATACAGTATTAGTGATAAGTCAATGTACAGTACCAATACAGTATTAGTGATTAGTCAAATACATGCACCAACATAGTATTAGTGTTTAGCCAAATGGACACCACAATTTCAAACTTTCAGTTGGACATTTTTACAGCGTAAATTTCTTTTAAAAAGCAGTGTCCTCCACTCAGGAAATACCTGTACTGTAACGGTGGGTTGAATTAGTATCAACACAGATAATTGACATGCAAACTGAAGGCCAAGTCCCTCATTTTTCCGAATTCATTTTGAGATGCGTTAAATGCATAACATGCTGTTTGTTTTCAAAACATACTGGATTAGTTGTTACCTTCAATTTTAACTTTTGCATCATTGGCTTCGTCAATAAGTATTGGAAATATCTCCTCATCAAAGTCATTGATATGATTTAAGATATTTTTTGCTTTTATATCGTCAAAATCAAAAACATCTGAAAATGACAGAACAATATATATTTATATATATATATTATGCTGGAGAGTAAAAGACAGGGGATGATATATATACCAGCATCAACTAAAGACACCATCACATGGTTACTACTTGATAAACAGAATAAAAAACAAGGGTAAAACGAGAGTTGAATCCTAATGAGCCGACATGTCAAATCTACCTTAGCGATAGTGGCCAACATACCGCTAGGTAAACTTGTTTTTTGAGACATCTTTATTGGGTGTAAGTTTATTTACTTGTACCGCTCCTTATAACCTTAATTCATTCACCCCTGAAGACCCATTTGAACTCCAATTCAAAGGTTGGAATAGTTCATTAAGAAATGTCAGGGGTAAATGAGTTAATATGAGAATGGACTATCACTATGGTTCCTTTGCCTATCGACTTCCCGGTAAATGAAATTTGGAAAGGAAGATGTCAGACTTTATTGAGATGCATACCCTTGCCATTTTCCTCTTCTGTCATTTCTTCTGATGGTACCTCCGTGGAATCTTCACTTTCTTCCACTTCCTCTACATCATCACCATCTTCTCCTAATTCAGTCTCATCTATTTCCGTATCATCAGCTTCTTCATCTTTCTGTGTAGATTTCTGTAAAAAATGCAAGATATATTCAAATTGAAAATGGGAAGAAATTGGTATTGAAAATACTATTATTATCTCAGCTTCAAATCAAACAGGCATCAACAAAATTCTTAATAATTAGCATATCAGTTTTGTTAAGATTTTAGTTCTGAAGAAATGACGTTGAACATTCCACAGAATGTCTTCCTTGAGTAACAGTCATTTAGTTTCAAAATTTTAGAAAGAACAACTCGCTAAAGGACATGCCACCCTACGTAATACATGTGTTTTCTAGTCATATTTCGTGTCGTCATTTCCCCAATGTGTATCAGGCATTTCAATGCTTTAGATAATAAGATACCCTGGTAAATAAGAGTTAACATCAGGTTAACACCAGTACATTGTACATGTACCTGGCAGTGATGTCAACAACTTATCAATGATACATTGATGTAAAATGTGTATATTATAAACTTAAAGAGATACTTTGTACAATAGTTAAATGTACGGCAGAAATAAAATGGACTGATGACACTTGCATACATGGTTGATATTAATTTAATTTCGGAAAGGAATCAATTATTTTAAATGGTGAAATCTTTTACTTTTATTGATGTTATGCTAAAGCTTTACTTTTTTGTATATGTGACAGTGATTTTTTTTTAACTTGGATTATAAGAAAAGTTTGAGTGGGGAACACTACAGACATGCACAAGAACGTTGTTTTGTTCCATTCTGTTTCACCTCAGATGTACAGCTAAAACACCCACAGGTCAGCAAGGACCCTGTCATGTACCCGAGTGTACCTCTGATGGTCTATTTTTAGTACATTGTAACAGTGACCTTTACTTGACCTCAGAAACTCCTATTGCACATCTACATATCACAGTATTATCACCTTGTCAAATTTAATAAAGATAAGTCTTTTAGAATCAGAGATAATCTCGGGAAAAAAGTACTAATGGATGGAAAGACGGTCACTGTGATTACTGTAGAGCACCTGCATCTCCAATGTAGGGCCCTTATTCAGTTGATTAGACAACTTTGATGTAATAATTTGATTTATTTCTATAATTTTTTAATATAACTGAAAGAATACATATAACTTTAATTTTGGAAAATGTTATCCCTCTTTGAGAAGTTGCATATGTTTTACATGAGAAAACTCTCATCCATATCAAAATGATTATGAAATGTAGATTAATGAAATAAATAACAATTCCTATTTATTCCAAGAAATCCCTGATTTGACAAAATAGTAAATGTCCATAAAGTCATATCCACATTGTTGCATAACCATTATGTTGAAGCTTAAGGATGTACTCTTCTGAGGTTTCAGTCACATTCAAGTCACGTTTTGATCTGGTGTAATGGGTTTTTGTAATATTTAACAAATTATGATAGGTTTAATAGCAAACACACATCTGAAAAACATGTCAAAAAACTAGATGTTAAAAAAAAGGGGTAGGGGTAACTAAAATCGCATTTCTGAGTAAAATGAATAAAATTAAGAAATTTTACTTCCATAATTCAAAAGAAAATAATATTTTCATCAATTCTACAAACATTCATACTTATCTGATAACACACTTGGAAGAAATTGTATGAATTTGTTCTGCAAATGGTCAAAACCCGAAAATTCACCTAAAATCACCTATTGTGTTAAATTGGTATCTTTGACCGATCATAGCACAAAAACGAACACACAGACATATATATTTTTTTGCATTTTCTACTATGTCATTATCTCCTTTTTCCAAAAATCAATATAAGAAAAAAAGTTTAATTTTTGACTTCTCAGAGGTGTACATCCTTAAGTAATTGAGAAATGGTGGAGCCTCCTTAAGCTTGTTAAGCATCAGTCCTTCTGTTGAACCTATTAGGTTTATTAATGAACTTGTAAGTCACTCTTTTCCAAGCTTTCGGGCTTAGCCCTTCGTCAGGGATTAAATGTCAATGGACCTCTATGTCACATAGAGTAAAATATTTTAGTTATGCAACTATTAGGTTTAGTTTCATGTACCTGTTCTGGTTCTTTTTTTATAGGGGTTTCAACATCTCCTGCATCTGAAAATTAGTAATTAATAGTTACATAACGAAACCGTTACAGATATATCATATAAATACAAGAATGTTATAGCTACTTTGAGAACCATCATAAACGGGCGACTACTACGAGTTAACTTATCAAGATTATTGACAATGAATAATGCCATCGATTGAAAAAGATTAACAATCTCTACCCATTATTACACAAGGATAATGACACAAAGTGAACTACACATAGGCAAGATTATATAACTCATTAATTATCGCAGATTATAATTTTCTCATCTTAGTTCCAATATCAGCAGAATATCATTATATATATTCTTTTACCAAATTTACAATATTACTTACTGCCTTCTGGTAAACAAATGGTTAACTAGGTAATCTTGGGTATATGTTGAGAGTCATTCTATACAGAAGAAATACTAATCTAAAGCTTTCAACATTATTCTGCTTTAATGGAATCCCATTTATGAGATTATAGTTTAGTAATATTGTAAACTACCGTTCTCTTCTTCCACAGCTTCTGTTTCATCGCCAATCTCTGTATCATCGCCAATCTCTGTATCATCTTCAAGTTCTGTATCAAACTCATTCCTCATCATTCTTTCCTCTATAGATAATCTTTTCTAGAAAAAGAGTAGTGACACGTGCAAAAAAAGGCATGAATGATGTAAACAGTACAAACACAAACTAAAGTACATTGTACAGGTGTTACCAGTATGCACTATACCAACATATATTAGACTGGACTGTATATTAATAGACTAAGGTAAAAGGCACCAACAAGTTCAACTATAGCATTACCAATGTCACAACTGTGAAATATTTGTTTACCTGGTATGTCTTTTTCAAAAGAAATTTTCCATAAATATCACACGTTGCCATGCATTTTACACAATTGTAGTTGTTTGAATGAAATGAATTTGTATGTTTGAAAAAAAGATGTATGTTTGTATTAATAAAAAAATCTGCAGGGGTTAAACTAAGGACCTGTACATTGCTAATAAAAGCCTACACTTAACCAATGTTGACATACTGGAATTGTACATGCACAGTATTAAAATATGTGTCCAATTTATGGGCCACATATGAATCATGTTATGAAAATATGAAATCTTTGGTTGCTTCATCTTCAATGAAGAAGGGAGAGTACTCCAAATCAAAAACCTCCGAGTGGAACACTTCTTCATAATCATAAGTTATATATAACTGATGCAGTTGTACCCTTTACCTTAACTAAAGTTGATTATACAGTCATTAACAGTATATAATGTACAACATGAACTAGATTGGACTGTATACTATTCAGATGATTGACATGAACTGTTATATAATGTTCACTTTGCAAACATAAAATACCATTTGAAATCAATGCAACAACTAAGAGTACAAATTACATGAAAATTTACCTCTGTTTTTATTACGTGTTGTGGGTTGGGTACGTCAACTTTGTATTCCTTCACGAATGACCGTGGGAAATAGCCTTTCTTTCCACGAACCTGTAAAAATGATGTAAAATTTATGTACATTTGATAAACCAAAAAATATTATTTATTGAACCACCTGATTATCATATTGATATCCATTATAGACAATCAAGAATGGATTATAATAGAAAAAAAAAAATACGAAGTACTTGTATACGGATTTGTAATTTAACAGTTCCCATTTATTTCTTTGAAAAAAACCCACCTCATAAATATCAATATCAATACTGTACACATTGAAAAATATATACAGCAGATTCTGACATCTGTTAAAGAGCAGGTATTTCTTCATTAACCAGCATGAGCACTGCTCTAAGTCACATACTCATAACTTCATAAGGACTTTTTGCATTTGATTTAATTCATGGATATGAGTTTGTGTCCAAGACTTACCTCTCCTCCCCAAAGGTCTGGCTTTTGACCTGCTGATTTACTTAGAATATGTACTATATCATCTCTTTCAAAGGTCAGGAATAAGGGATCATTTTGTCTGAATTTACCTAATGCTCGGGCATAAGATATAATTTCTGGAAAACAAAAGTGACTCAATTAATCAAACTGTATTATTACAGTACACAATATTTGTATATATATATATATATACGTCAACTTTGAATAACTTTTATTTAAGAAGACATCATTCGTTTCAAGAAAACATTTGCAGAATATACATGTAATGATATATGGTTTTAACAATACAGTTGGAGATACAGTATATAGATTTTCAAGATTCTTATGGTTGTTATTTATATACATTTGTAGGTCGGTTATTTGGAGAAAAAAATAACTTACTACATTTGTACTTAGCATATAAAATATGTTTAAATCAAAATGGGGGTACAACCAACTATTTGGGGCTTTAGGGAGTTATGGGTGACATAATGAACACTGAATTCTAACAGGTGACGATATAGGTTTTCTTTAATATAATTATAATTTTTACTCTTAGGAAGTAAATTTCAGCAAAAATTGAACCCTAAATCGTCACCTGACAGTCTAAAACTCTCAATTGACCCAGATCAGTGATGTAATTTTACCACACGCACGTCATCAACAAGGCCAAATGTAAACATCGCGGCGAAAGAAAAAGATGCATGCAAAAGTCATGACAGGCACGAGGTATCAATACCGTTATATATAACAACAACATGTAGGTATGAATACTACACTTGTATCATACATGACCTTTGAAAACAACTATTTACATATAGTATTGCTGTCTTCTCCGCTAGTTGAGTCCGACATGGCACATGACGGCGTGCTATTGTTGTTATTTTCACTGCCTCACTTTCGAAACAACCACGTGACATATTATAAATAGATCTACGCTAAATTTATGCGGGGTATCCCCGATATTTCAGTGGTCAAAACTGGACATTGCAAGCTGAACTCGATCATCATATTGCCGTGGTATAACTTTTGGAAGGCATTTAGACCCATTTATTTTGTAATTTTTTCCCCGACTAGCCCCCAAAAAATCTGATATTTAAGCATCCTCTTAATGTTTTGGTAAACACCAGACTTTTGACAGAAGTCTGTGCCAACAGACGTCTTTTTAAACATTCTGATCACAAGCAAACTATTCAGTCTTATGATGCTCCTATACTATTTTGACCAAATCAAATCAACGAACCAACACAAAGCAAAAGTAGACCTCTCATTTTAAATGAGAATAGCCGTAAAATGATTCTATATGAAGAAATGGTTGGTTTAATGAATAATAAATAATAATTATAGTCTTAACGGTTTTGCAGCAGCCACATAACAATACTTTGCAGTAGTTTCATACCATCACCTATCTTCACTTATCTTAGCCTGTGTACCAACACAAAGCAAAGGGAGACGATAATGCCCCAGTTATCTGAACTACTGTAGCGTGCAGCAAAACATGGTCGATTCAATAATGTTGATCGTCTGTAAATATGTTTATCACTCTTCATAATTATTCTGTGTTGGTTACTATTGTATTTTAATACTATGCCTAATATCCCTCCCCCCCCCCCCCCTCTTTTTAGTAGCTGTTTCACGTTTATCGTCACTGTCAGTCGATTGAAACATAGTCTTACTTTCACAGTTTGTATCTCCACACAGCCGTAAGTCAGAAATTCCTGACGCTTCAACGATAGCAACAATAAATGTGAGAAGCCATGTCACAAAAAGCAACCGGCTTATCGTACGTTCTACATTAACGCAGGCTGCCATGTTTTTTCTACTTTCACACCGAACGTACACGTCAGCTGGCGCTGTGAGCAGAACTTCCGGCATAGATTTATTAATGATTTCTCCCCTGTATCAGTCGTTTAAAATGTAATCTTTTAGGTACAAAACGAGACATAACTATAACTGTCACTCAATGCATGCATTGAAACACTTTCCAGAAAGCAATATGAAACAAAGCCATTTACGATATACGTAAGAATCTCTGTCATGACATAAAAGAACAATCCTGGTCTAAGCGGTCCAACCGATTGAATGCGATAAATGAAGGCTTGTCAATCACGGAAGGCCAAATGCAATGGCAGTAATTTTACAAACCACAGTTTGACATGTAGATTCCATTCGTCTTTGTCAAATTCTTTGTTGAAAAAGAAAATACTTACCTGCGTTGAGCTAATTTCCATTAATAAGATTTACAATGTCCACGATTGGAAGAAGAAAAAATACATGTCAATCTGTGGTTTCAAATCTGAAAAGTTTCATAGATTTATAAAATTTCTATTTCTGATGATGATCACGGAAGGCCATGACAGTAATATGGCAAGCCTTTGTATGTTATCCGTTTAATGACAGTAAACAGATATCTGCAGTTTAAATATGCATGGATAGGTCTGTATTTATTGTATAACTATAGATATCTGTATTCAAAAATATGAACATAACAGTTAGATCTATCTGTATTTCAATTACAGCTAGGTCTACCGTGTGGGTTATTACCCATGTAATAGTATCAGATTCCGGCCTAAAAAAAACACTGTATTACACGAGTAAAAACCCTAGATGTGTCATCAATGCTGTTAAATGGGTATATTTGATGGGAACGGACGAAGTCGATCGCCGGCCACCAGGTAGCTCAATATTTTGGTTAGAGCGCCCAGCTAGATTTTGGAGGTCCTGGGTTCGAGTCCGGTCTGACCGCACATGTTTCCTGTCCTCTTTCATTGTATATGTCTTTATCAAAATCAAATGCATTTACACATATCCTCAATTAGACATGGTGATGCAACGGCCATAGAGAGATCCTAACACGGGACTTTCGAACTCTAACAAATAATAAGCAAACTATAGCAGATCGCCAGCAATCAACCCAGTCCGGTGTCGCTTCACATCTAATGAAAAAATGGTCTTAGTTGATTAGTTTTTTTCCCCCGTTTAACGCCATATTATACTAACAGCTAAGATCTGATAAGGACGTGCCGCCATGCATGTGTGTCTTGCTTGTTTCTGGGCTGGATGATCATGCGGGTACGTTTGGACTTACTTCGTCCGATAACTGAATGGTCAAACACAGGCGTAGGTTCATTGTGCAACATATTATTTCCTAAACTTCAACATATTCGTTCTAAATGAATATTGTTCCTTAGAATTCCAAGGGGGGAATTTAAGCACTTTGAAGCCCCGGATGAAGGTGATTGTGACGTTTAAAAGACTGTGACGTCATTACACAACGTACAATGCCACCATGACGGTGAGACATGTCATCTTCAAAAGACATCATAATATGGTCAGGTTTGTGTTTTTTGGGACTTAGTGCCGCAGCCGCTTTATATAAGGAAAGAAAATCATTGCTATCGAGACTCAATTGGATAACGGACAATGTAAGTATTTATTATGATGATATTCATTCGTTAAAGTTATTCTGACATCTGTTTCCCATGGTAGATCTATTACAGTACAAAAAAAAGTGGAATCGTATGATTCGGTAAATCTAAAAAAATATGCTGAAACGACGCCAAACAAATGTGTCATTTCATTGATTGAAATAAACATTATTGACCCTGTTCACAGCAAGAAGACCAACCAACCACCGACGAAATAACTTCGCCGACCAAGTCGGACCCAGACTCTGTACATGCATGTGGTAGCGCCGAAAACATTTCCGACTCTGACTCGTTCTTCAGTGTAACATCAGAGTGTGACTTCGTAGGTGACCATACCGACTTGACAGACTCCTCGTCTTCAGGCGGTTATAAAGACGCCACGAAGAGGAGCATCGTACTAAAAAGTGAAAAAAGAGAATTGGAGACGGATGCACATAGTTCCATTTTCACGAACACCGTGAAAGGATTTGCAGAACAACTCTCTTCCCCCATTGTAGCTTCCATGGAATTCCAAACACCACGCCGAGATCTAAACGACAACGGAACGGCTAAACGACTCGATCATATTTATAATGACGTAACGCCAAACCAGCGCGTGCTCGAAGATACATCTCCATGTACCTCTCAGCCTACTTCTTACAATCGTATCTATGACGGATACCACTCCATTGTTACGCCAAATTCACCAGCTACGATGGTGTTTCGTTCACATGATAAATAACAATTTAAACTCATAAAAATGTGTTGTTTTTTTAATTTATTTATAATGTACGAATGGAAGCAATTAACCGACAACTTATTGGAACAGCATAAGGAGGCAGGACCCAAATCGGATCGCTCTTTGCAAAAATACTTATAAATCTATATATGTGTCAACATTTGAGTTATTACAAGAATTTATCATTATAATACATAGATATGCATTATTTTTTAGTTTAGAAATCATCAAATTTTAAGTATAAATAGTTTCAGGAGACACATTTCAAACTAGTATTTTTTACGTTGTAAAAAAATGGCGCATGCGAGGACTAAGGTGACAGAACCCAAATCGGATCACCAAACCAACCTTTTATTAAATCATTGAAAAATCTGAGGAGTAATTATATTCATTTATGGTTGTATCAAAAGAAGGATAGCAATGGGTGTTCTTACAATCGAAATTAACACCCGGGGCTCACTCGAGATATTTATAGAACGCTCTGAAGTCACCAATCAGCGTCTCCGGTTTTGCGAATGTCTGGACCCAAATCGAATCAAGGCTTGAATTTTGTAGTATCTTTTGCTTCAAATGAATTTTTTTTTGTCAGCATATCAACATTTTATGATGATTTTTAGAATTTATATGACAAAAAGTATTTCTATAGTGTAAATTTATCGTTATAGTCCAAAACTTAATGCATAGTCGTCGCACGCGCCATTTTTTAAAAACGTCATCAAAACACTGACATTTGAGTTTGAATTACGTTTTCTTGTGCTATTTGAACTTAAAACAAATCATCTGTAGACAATAAATGGTGCGTGGCTATCTATTCTAAGACTACATCATTGTTATAACTGATTTGCTGACACATTTATTGATTTATAAATATTTTTGCAAGAAGTGATCCGATTTGGGTACTGATCCGATTTGGATCCGATTTAGGTACTGATCCGATTTGGGTACTGCCACCTTATATCAGTTTTTTGGGGGGCTGTAGGAATAAATTCAGAATATAGAAATACGTGTTTTCATTCCAAAGATCATCATAAAATGTTAAAATACTGACAGGAATGTTCATTTGAAGCGCAAAATATTGCAAAATTCAAAACCCGTGATCCGTTTTGGGTACTGACATCGCAAAAAAACCCACCCGGAAACGCTAATTGGTGAGATGAGAGTACTCTATAATTATCTCACGTGAGCCTTGGGTATTTATTTCATTGGTAAGAACACCCGTCGATATTCTTCTTTTAAATACAACCATGAACTAATACAACTGATAAAATTAATCCGCAGAGTTTTCAATGAATGAAGAAAAGGATGGTTTGGTGATCCCTGGTGATGCTGTCACATTAGCAATGTTTAGTGCGTTGGTCTATGACACACCAAAATAAGCTACTGGTCTCTTTTGCTGTTGACATCCTCGAGATTACAGGTGGTACGCTTACTAAGGTTCCCTTCACCCCTGGAACATGTAATGACAAAAGATTGTGCCACCTTGCTGGTGATTGATGTAGACTAGTTTGATCCTTTGATGTGCATCAAGACAATCGCATGGCAGCATAACGGTAACATTGACTGGTTTTGAAGTCGGGTGTCGCTCCTCTGTAATCTTCAAAGGACAGGTATAAGTCTAGCGATTGATCATTTTTTATGCCTAACTTATCAAATAGGTGATTTCGTGGCTTTAATTTTGTCATGACATACCCAGGGTACGAAAAATTGAGCAAATAAAAAATAGCTTACCTTATGTTTACAACAGCAATCACAAGGTCTGGTGGACATGCACATCATTGAAATAATGTTCGTTTAATTTCTATATTTTTTTCAGAAATTTACGTAAATGCCGAGTTGTGGACAAAGGTAGTATGGAAAGACATCAAGGGGTTAGGAAGAGAATAAGTCGGTTAATCAGTTTATTTTAGCGTCTTCAATGACTCTAAGTTGATTCTGGACATGCAACTGCAAGATACAAGATACAAGAAACTTTATTGAACGTCGCATACAGGTAAACAAGTCACAGTAGCTCTTCAGAGATATTATTGCGACAAACATCTGTAAAATGACATTATAATACAGTATATTACAAGTAAAGGGAGATATTCACATATATTAATGAAAAGCAGTAATAATTATCACAGAAAAAGAAAGTATCATATCTCAGGTTTCTAAGTGATTGAGAGTCCCCTACCTACAAAGGCCCCCGGGGTATGGCCCTTTAGAAACAATATGTATGCAAAAATAGTGTTAATGTATGAAAAGCATTAAATGTGATCACAGATAAGTAGTACTCAAAATAAGTAAATAAAAGACAAAGTTAATAATGAATGAATACTTGTATATCACACAAGAATTACTTCAGACTTAGAATTAAAACACTATGAAATGGAATATACATACAATGCTAATATAGCAAAGAATACAAATTGACAGAATATACACTTATATAGTGTGAAATTAAAAAATGATACCGAAATCAAATAACAAAATTTGTTAAGTTTGTAAAAATTGATATTTTAGAATGTATGGAATTAAAATACGAATAAGATGCTGCAAAAATATAGAATTGAATTAATACATATACGAAATGAAATAAGACAATAATTGTATCATACAATCCAAAACTGCCTTAGACAGTAAGCAGCCATGGTCGGAAGCCCAGGAGTTACATTTTCATTGAATCAATTTGCCAATTTCGATGACAAACTATGGTGTGTATCATACATTTTCCAAGTAATTAAGTTTACAATGCATTTTCTAAATTATCTGGTTCAGCATTAAAAGAAAAAAGCATATCCGTTTGTTCAAGTTGTTGAAATCGGAACCCCAGATGCATCAACGATCTGACATTACACAACTCACTGCACGTGTGAAAGAATAGTATCCAACCGAATGTTCTCGTAAGAGGCAACCTTGTCCCCCTACAAAGGCCCTGCGCTGGACCCGCCTCCTAAATGAATCCACTCCGAACAAGGCTAGCTACGCCCTTAACGTCCGAGAGCATCAATGACAATATGTATGTTCGGGCTTCTCCTGACGTGAAGGGGCCATTTATATTAGGGGCAGCATTCGCATGAACGGAACAATAAAGGCGCTGTGCTATGACAAACAGGGACCCGATAATTTGTTATGTACAGCTTTATTAGGACCTAAAGTGAGGTGATCAGATACATTTTACACGTTAGGGTTAAGATCAATTTTCGGTAAAAAAAAAAGAAGGTAGAATTACACTGAACACCTCAGAGGCAGCGACGTGAATGAGAGACCGGGGTTAGTGCGGCTTCGGGGTAAGTCCGGCCACTCCTGGGGCCACTTGTATAAAACATGTCAAAATTGAGGAAAATCTCAAGCGATGTATAGTCTATTGGAAATCTTAGACTTGAGGAAATCTCAAGAGTTGAGATGTTTTATACAAGTGGGGCCAGATAGTTTTGGTCTTGGGCAAACATTTACAACTTCGAGGCATTCACACGGAAAAACGACGGGAAAAACTCCATTATAAAATTACTAAAAGGGAAAAAAGGTACGTTTGGAGAGTATAAAGAAAATCATGAACTTCTTGTAAACCGAATTGCCACTATTATTTATATTACGTGTACACAATGCCAACGACCTAGCATCGACCTTCGCATTGTACTTTTTGTAATATTTGAATTATTGAAATATCAATTTTGGACTGATTCGGCCCAGAGTCATATAAAGCCAGCATGTATACGTCTCTTTTCGGTTTATGAATCTAATTTCGTGATGCAACACATAAAAAGTCGTGAAATTGCGGGGAAATCTGACCTGGCATTTTTTATGACGTCATGACTATGCTGGTACCCCAGGCTGCCTAACCGAATTTGCCCCAAAGCTGGGCACGTTCGGCAATCCAATCCTATTCCTATAGAAAAAAATGTAAATGGGTCTAATTATTAAATTCTTATGTTTGCCATTTTAACCATTATTTTATGAAAGGCATGCCATTTCTCCTCAGAATGGGGAAACTTTTTCAACAAATGTCCAAATAAAAATGGGTCGAAATTGCCCTGGTCTTAATTCAAGATATGTTATTGTTTCCAAAAGGCTTGGTAAACAGGCTCCATATAAGTCTTCTCAAATTCCTGATAAGATAAATTGTATTCAAAGTCGGTACACTACAGCATGTGAGTATCCATAGTGTGGAAGGCCGTTCATGTCAAAAACGAGATAAACTAACGCGTTAAAACATCAATTAACGCGTTAAAATAGTTTTAACGCGTTAAATGCTATCACGTTAAATATAAACTTTTATCGCGTTAAAAAATCAAAAATATTTTAACGCGATAAAATGCTTCCCAAGTTTAACGCGTTAAATGTTGTACTTATTTTTTTAACGCGTTAAAGTGTCATAAATGAATGAACCAATCACATGTGCAGTTACGTACTAAATCATGGCTGATGAATGCTGTTCGAGTAAGATGGCTGGGATCGGCTGAGATGAGGTCAATTTACATGCATCGCAATGAAGATTCAGTCCTGAATTCAAATCTGTGCCCAAAATTATACTTTTCATCGGGTCCGGATAAGTCGGTGGATTTTTTGCTCTTTCAGATGATTCAAAATGTATCTGTATTTAACGTAGAGTTATAAGCAGATGGCATTGGTTAATATTTTATAAAACTAATTTGTTAACTGAAAAACGGCTAACTTTTTGTTAAGAAATAACTAGCAGTAAATTGCAGACTTATATTGTTCAAGGTCATGAGGTTGAAGCTCACGGTCACTAGATACAAATGAAGCATGAAACATGTCAGGAATCTGAATTTGCGAATTTCCATAAAAACGGTACACTTTTTGTATAAACATATATATTAGAAAGCTATAGGAAGTAATGCAAGGAATATTTCCGCAAAGTTTCTATGTCACAGGTTCAAAGGTCAAGGTCGTGGATACTTGGGGAGACTGAAATTGCAAAGTTCCTAAAAAAACAATACATACACCGACACTTTGGAAGACTAAAAATGCAAATTTTCCTAAAAATGGTACACTTCCTGTATAAACATAAACTAGTTGCAGGAAGTAATACGAAAAATGTTTTGGCAAAGTTTCGAGGTCATAGGGGTTAAAGTTAAATGTCACTGACACTTCAGAAGACAAAAAATGCCCAATTTCGCATGAACGGTACACCTTTTGTATACACGTCTACATTTGCAAAATTGTAGAAAATAATATTTCAGCAAAGTAGTAAGGTCACGTGGTTAAAGTTCAGAGTCACAGACACATCAGGCAACTGAACATGCTCATTTTCTCCAAAAAAACGAAGTCTTTTTGTTTACACATATACATTAGAAAGTTGTAGGTAATTGTGCCAAGATTATTTTGACGAAGTTTCAATTTTCTCAGAAACCTAGGACCCATAAAATTTAGTTGCAGAAACAGGCGAAGTCAGCTGGGAATGTAATAGCTTCAAAATCAAACTAGTTCTGAAACTTTAAAGTCCATGGAGCAGGAACTACTGTCTTTTTGTTGCGATTCAGGTATGGTACACATAATAGCTCCGACAGCTCTTAGCAGCTGGTTAACGTAAGAGGTGATGGGTGCCGGAACCACTCAAACCAAGTTTCCAACTGTTCAATCATTTATGCACGTCCACAAAATGGGCAGTGGTAGAAAGTGTTAACCCTATATATATTCACCCTCAGAGTACTATGTTGAGGCTACCCAAAATGGAACACTTTTTAAAGAAAAATATTAAAATTTCATATTATAAGTTTCTGAAAGACTGATTTTTTTTACTGTAATGAAACAATGCATGCCTTAAGCCTTCATCTTATGTATTTCTAAGGTATCAACAGCATGTGTGTCTATTTATAGAGCTCATTAAAGTGCGTCAGGTTCACTTAGAGTTTGTTTGCTGGTCGAGTACCCAAAATGGAACACTTCATCACATACTATTAGTAAGTCAGTTTATGAAAATGACTTGACAGCCTTTTAATAATTTTCTTCATTAAACAAACTTTTGACAATTTCTGACAAATTTTACTCATTTATTCCCTATAGTTGTCCATGTTAAGAAATATGATCGAAAATTTATGTTTTCGCGTCGTACTGTTTCCCTGGATTAGTAGGTGATCTTCTTCTATCGCAAGGGTGTAGGGTGAGGGTACCCAAAATGGAACTGTACCCAAAATGGAATACGTTGATAAAAATGACACAGCAATTGTTATTTTGCAATAAAATATAATGGTATGTTTTCTAAATCAAAATTTAAATAGTTTATGCATTTTGAACAACTAGCATCTGCCTACTTCTTAAACATTGCTCATAAACTAAATTGAAATAATAAAAAAAAAATTGAATAAAAAAAATTCCAAGGAAACAGTACGATGCGAAAACATAGTTATCTAAACCATCCGCCCCTTAGCAACTATATTATGCAGTTTGGTTTCTCAATGCTGATATGCAAGGACGCATCTGACTGGTTGTCAAATTTAACGCGTTAGCATTTAACGCGATAAAATAATTTTTGCCGCAATAAACATGTATTTAACGCGTTAAATGCTAACGCGTTAGGGCTTAACGTGATACAAGTGTCTATTTAACGTGATAGCGTTTAACGCTTTAAAACGATTTTTAACGCGTTAAATCCTTGTTTAACGCGTTAAATGATGTTTTAACGCGTTAAATAATGCATTTAACGCGTTAGTTTATCTCGTTTGTGACATGAATTAACGGTCTTTCATACATTTGTCTCAGTCTAAAAATTTAATAGTTGTAACAAATTATCATGTCCCTTTGCTTTGACGTCCATTAAGTCTTAAATATAGATAAGCACATTGACCTGAGAATTTGTTACAGCATAATATCATTTTTGTTTTCGTTCAGACAAAGATCGTATTTAAATTTCCCGCCATTTGTTTACCGGATGTAGGCTACCGGAAGTTTTCATCACCACATTCCAAAATGGCTGTCGTTGGGTGAAACTGTGACAAAATGCATCTGTAAATACAGCAGTGCTGTAAGTTGTACGTCGAGTTTATGAGCAAAGTATCTTTATTCAACACTTATTTGTATGATTCTTTCATGTTGTGGTAGACTTTTTTCAAAATTATCCGTCTTTTCAGATTCTCATATGAATCAATTTTTATCTCCATGGAAATTATGTCAACTATCAGCTGGCCGAGCAGCTGATAAGCGGAAAACGATGTAGTTACGAGTTATACTTTAGATTGAAACAATACAAAACCGCCATGGGACTAAATACCAAGGTAGACAAATGTAGACAAATGTTTAAAAATATTAATATTATTTTCTTTGAATTTTGATATCATAAACTGTCCGCAGACTTGCTTTAGTTCAATTATCAGTAAATGAAAAATATAAGTAATAGGCTGCAAGTGCCATAGACAGCATTAAGTATGAACAAAATTTCTTCATTCTTGAATGAAGCTGTATGTAGTAATTGGCAAGTCAAATCCTGAATACCAAAACAACAAAATATCAAAGTTAATTAAAATATCATGATGTACACCTAAGACCTCATTCAAATATATTGATGGAACTATAGGGCCTACACATATAACATTAGAGGCTGCTATTTTTTTTATAGCATATGATTACCTTACTGGGGTGCCTGTCAGAAGTGTCTTGTCATGATATGCCACTAACATTGTACACATTCCTATGTCTAGTACTGTATTAAAGATAATTCTGTTTGTAATAACAAAAACACAGTACAATGTATTGATTTGATAAACACTCAACAAGGTTCTTATCTGATGTTCTTTGGAAACATCAACAAGTCACACTAGTTTTTGCAGTGGTAGATTTCTGGTCAGTGACTTGCAATCCTTGCATTGGTGACTGATAAGTTTGATGAAATGATGACTGTAAGAGGACATGGCATGAAATGTTCTAACATAACATTGTCATTTACAGCCTGAATAGGTGCAGATAAATTGGTCATTTAACACTAAAGAACGGTCCCTGTTATTAACAGTATTAGCTAGTACATAACAGTACTGGTAAGGAGTCAATACAGCTCTTCTATAGTCCTAGTCTTACACTGTGATAATGTATATTTAAGGAGACACCACACATGAGCTATCCCATTGCAGAGTAATGATAATTACAAACTCAAGCAATAATAACACATGAAGAAAATAGAATGTAGTTTAGACATTTCATTATTTCAAAATTCCGTTTAAATGAGAGTGACTGCAGTTTACCTGGAGTTACTCAATGGTGAGCTGAATAATGAGGTATGGTCTGTGTTATTCTTTCAAAGATTTATTTAGTTATTGCCGAACAGCTCTCCTAAAAGATAGGCAGGGTAAAACACCTTGTAATGCCCTTCCAAATTATTCGAGTCGAATAGGTATCCCATGGCCTTATAAAAATAGTAGATATAGTTTAGATATATTCTGTTTACATACTGATAAGCCATATTGTGGTAAGTTCAAATTTTCTATTTTTGGTTTTTGATATTACTTCTAGAATCATCTTTCCTCTCTGACCTATTACTTCTTACATTGCTCTACTGCATATTTAATCTGTGATTGTTTTAACTTTATCCTGGATTTTTTTTCATTTTCTAGAGAAACTGTCAATCGAGTCACTGAAATGGACAAAAACCAGATGAAGGTTTGTATGCAATAATTCTTTTAATGAAATACAATATATATGAGTCATTATACACTTAGTTTTGCTCTCCAATCTTTTTAAACCTAATTTTGAAGATATCATTTTGTCTGTTTCTGTTTTTGTTTTTATTAATGTTGTGCATGTAGTTTTTGTATGTAAAAGATGAAAATTGATTGGTATAAATAAATTAATATAACTGATTAATCTGCACAAGTAAGGTGACAAGGGATTTTAAGACTTTCAGTTTTCTAACCTAGGAGCTTGACCTGCATCTGGATCTTGAATACCTTGAAGATGGCTCTGCTAAAGATGTAGATGGGGAGTGGCCAAGTTATAGCAGTGGGTCAGAGGAGGAGCTGGAGAACCTCGGAGAGGGATGGAACCAAAACATGAACCACCCAGCTGTCCAGAAAGGAGGGGCAGCTGGGGACATTGACCCTCTCTATAATGGTGGAGGCCTGCTACCTTACGGTATGTTGTTCGATTAAATCTCTTTTAGAGGTCAGTTTTGTTAATGTTTCTAGATAAGATATCACCCTTTATAACCTGTGCCAGTTTATTATTGTCGTAGTGCCTCTCAAAGATAGACTGTAACAAGGCGATATACAGAATGTAGTATATAATGCTATTCAATGCTCAAATAAATCATTAACAAGTTTTTTGTAATTTTTTTGGCACCTTTGCTAAAGCAGTGGTCATATCAGAATCTAGAATCCTAATAAAGAAGTCATTTGTAGCACAGTCTAAAAAAAATAAGGATAGGTGAATGCTTAATTTCTTATATTACTATTAATTAATTTATAATTAATGCATGGACGTGTAGTTGATCCCCTCTTGAGATTGCATTCTACAGGTAAGCTACTGTCATAATGTGAATGTATATGATGTAACTGTTTGCATCAAGTTTCTGTGAAATCATTGTTATATTCAATTCTCCAACATCTTATTTGCATTGTTGCAGAGGATGGGATTGATGTTGACAGTGAAGAAGAAAGAGACCTCATGAAAGAAATCAAGGATGACATCACGAACCAAGTGCGCGATGAAATGAAATCTGAACTGGACGTTTATAAAACAAAAATGAAAGCTTTAGAATTTAGAGAAAACAGGAATCATAAAGATAGCTCTCATGATAAAGCAGAGGAAATTCTTGATGAAGTTGATCCAAAATTGAAAGAGGCCATTTTAAAAATGAGAAAACTTGATCGTATCCTAGCAAAAAAGATGAAAAGGGAGCGTGAAGTGAAAAAAGATAGGATTTTACTTCAAAGAAGGTAGGAATTAAATTGTTTTACTGTAGTAAAGTAAGTATAAGTTTTAACTATCTAGAAAATGTTAATGCATGCTTTAATCCATATGATATGTAACACAGCACTTGACTGGTCAATCAAAATATTTTGCAATGGTACCGTCCCCAAATTTCTCTTTTTCCCATGAATGCCTTATGGCGACTGTTAGTGATGTTGGTGATTTTGACCAACCCCAACAAACCATGAAATTGATTATAAAGAGATCACAAACATTAGCGTGACCCTGAAAGTTCAGTGTAATCCAGACTCGCTTTGGCCTGAGGTCACTAATCCACAGCAGAGAGACCCAGAGTTTGAAGTAAATGCTCATAAATATCTAAAAGTTGTTGAATCTGTTGTTTTTGCCTATATGAATTAGGATGGGGATAATTTGAGGTTTGTGGTGGTGTGATTATACTGTCACAAGTATCTGTTTTACTGGCTCCGCTCCGCATCACCAGGAAAACTCTATTCGTGACAGTATATTCACAATATACTGCTGCATATCTCACAATACAGTAAGGTTATCCCCTAATTACCGTTACCATAAGTTAGTACTCCTAAACATCTAGAAATGTTAATGCATGTTACTGGTACCATTTGTATATCTTCCAGACAAGGAGGTGCTTTAATAAGTTTAACTATTTAATGGATTGTTTTGTACCTAAGTGAAGTTGTAATTTTAAAAATGTGCTAGCTGTTTGGTTTGTGTTATAATTTACATTATGATACTCTTCACAGAATCAAAGATGAACTTTCCGGTTTGAAATCAGAAGGATCAAATGAAAGAAAGGAAGAGAAAATGAATACATCAAAGTACCTGGCCTTGACTCTTCCCCTTAGTCACAATGAAGGTACATGTTAATACCAGTTTTAAGAGTATGTTTATAGTCTTTGTCTTCAGACATTTACGTAAGACCGAGAGCCCAAAGTCCAAAACTTCTACATTTAAAATTTTTCTAGCCAGTGGAGCCTATTCCTGGACCTCCCCTTTTTCAGTATGGTTTTGTGCTTTTTTTACGCAAGAGGCTCGGTAAGTGCCCAAGGAGTAATCAGGCTCATCAAGGCCTCTCGCTTATCATTAGGGCTCCCAGATAATTTTTATCAGGGAGACATGCAGCAGTCTAAATTACATTATAAATATACCTGTGTTCGATATGTTAATTTTTGTTTTTGTTTCAGGTGTAGAAGTGCCGAATAACCCGAGTGAACCTGTATTTACTACACAGCTGAATGAACAAGACTATCCAGATGTTCACAGACAAAATGGAGAGGTCGGCAGCAGTAATAGACAGAGAAGGGGTAAATTGTGTTCCTTTAGCTAATGATAACAATCACATTTTAACTTGATTTCTGTTCAGTTTGAGTTCCACTTCCTGTGTAATAGATAGGAAGTTGAGTTTGAACTCAGTTGAGTGAAAATGTATTACCAGTACACATAGCTTTAGACATAAATTACATTTCTTATTTGCCAGCTTGTGTTAAAGTTCAGTTTGGCAAATTAAGTTAGCAAGAAGTATTGAAATCTACAGTAAGCTGTTGGCACTATTGGTTTGTCTTTCAGACATGTTCAGACACACACGTTCTGTTCGTATTGGGTTTATGATGATATTTTATTGTTGATTTTCTCCAGGTTCAAGTCACAGGTCCCATACAGCTTCAGAACTTAGTGACTGCCACTCTCAACAGGACTCAGAACTCGGTAGTGAGACTTCTTCAATGGCAGGCAGCAAGTCTGGAAAAAAGAAAAAAAGAAAAAAAGACTTTATTAAAAGAAATAAGGAGGTATATTTTTTTTGAAACCCCCCCAAAAAATGCAATCTTTTCTTGTGAATTAGATTATGCAATCAGACCAATGATCTGGTATACTTTTAGGAAGGTTTGGTAAATGCAGTATTTGATCCAGTCTCTCACTGATTTACCAGTAAGATGACTGTTATATTACCTTTGGTACAGAAATCATAGATTTAATCAAGTGATTCATTCTAGATTTTTTTTTTAAATTGGAACTATGAATGAATATGCTGTGTTTTGATTGTATTGAAGAAGATTTTATTAAATACATAAATTATTCAATGTGTTGGTAAATGGGTAACATTTGATCTAATTTTATAAGTTTTCATGTTAACAGTTTCAACATTATGTCCAAGGCATTTCAAGTTGTCATGAGTTCAAACACTTTGTTTAAAAAAACAAAAACCAGTCGAGAATAAGCTTTCCAGCTTAGTGTAAATGTTATGTCAGTCTCTGTAAGTGCTTTAGTGACTGTAAGAGAAAATGAATCAGAGTCTGAGCTCATATTCATGAAGTAGTTCTCATGCTCATACTCAGATACTTTGTAACGAGTTTATGAATACAGGCTCTTATTCACAAGATTGCTCTGTAGTTAAATCTCTTATTTAAGATCATTATTTGACTTTTTCAAAGTTATGTTAGATACAAGAACAGCATAACAACATCAGATATATTTATCAGGGATCTATGTTTGCTTCATATTTTGTTTTCATCAAGAACAATGCCTTATTTCTGTTTTGTAATTTTTTCCAAAGCTTGCGTCTGAAGCTGAAAACCCTGTACCAATGACGGACGTGGAAAGGACACGGGTGAACCAACTTCTAGAGGGTCTGGATGCCTTACCTGATGTGCTGGAAGAGGAGGAATCAGTTTATAGTGTGGTGGGTTCTGGCACCACAGGATATAGTGTGATGAATTCTTACACAACAGGTTTATAGTGTGGTGTATACTTACACAACAGGTTTAAAGTGTAGTGTATTCACACATATTCAGTTTATAGTATGGTAGGTTCTGATACCATAGGTTTATAGTGTGGTGGGTTCTGATACCATAGGTTTATAGTGTGGTGGGTTCTGAAATCACAGGTTTATAGTGTGGTGGGTTCTGATACCATAAGTTTATAGTGTGATGAATTCTCACATAATCAGTTTATAGTGTGGTGGGTTCTGATACCATAGGTTTATAGTGTGGTGGGTTCTGACACCATAAGTTTAAAGTGTGATGAATTCTCACATAATCAGTTTATAGTGTGGTGGGTTCTGATACCATAGGTTTATAGTGTGGTGGGTTCTGACACCATAAGTTTAAAGTGTGATGAATTCTCACATAATCAGTTTATAGTGTGGTGGGTTCTGATACCATAGGTTTATAGTGTGGTGGGTTCTGACACCATAAGTTTAAAGTGTGATGAATTCTCACATAATCAGTTTATAGTGTGGTGGGTTCTGATACCATAGGTTTATAGTGTGGTGGGTTCTGACACCATAAGTTTAAAGTGTGATGAATTCTCACATAATCAGTTTATAGTGTGGTGGGTTCTGATACCATAGGTTTATAGTGTGGTGGGTTCTGACACCATAAGTTTAAAGTGTGATGAATTCTCACATAATCAGTTTATAGTGTGGTGGGTTCTGATACCATAGGTTTATAGTGTGGTGGGTTCTGACACCATAAGTTTAAAGTGTGATGAATTCTCACATAATCAGTTTATAGTGTGGTGGGTTCTGATACCATAGGTTTATAGTGTGGTGGGTTCTGACACCATAAGTTTAAAGTGTGATGAATTCTCACATAATCAGTTTATAGTGTGGTGGGTTCTGATACCATAGGTTTATAGTGTGGTGGGTTCTGACACCATAAGTTTAAAGTGTGATGAATTCTCACATAATCAGTTTATAGTGTGGTGGGTTCTGATACCATAGGTTTATAGTGTGGTGGGTTCTGACACCATAAGTTTAAAGTGTGATGAATTCTCACATAATCAGTTTATAGTGTGGTGGGTTCTGATACCATAGGTTTATAGTGTGGTGGGTTCTGACACCATAAGTTTAAAGTGTGATGAATTCTCACATAATCAGTTTATAGTGTGGTGGGTTCTGATACCATAGGTTTATAGTGTGGTGGGTTCTGACACCATAAGTTTAAAGTGTGATGAATTCTCACATAATCAGTTTATAGTGTGGTGGGTTCTGATACCATAGGTTTATAGTGTGGTGGGTTCTGACACCATAAGTTTAAAGTGTGATGAATTCTCACATAATCAGTTTATAGTGTGGTGGGTTCTGATACCATAGGTTTATAGTGTGGTGGGTTCTGACACCATAAGTTTAAAGTGTGATGAATTCTCACATAATAGGTTTATAGTGTGGTGGGTTCTGATACCATAGGTTTATAGTGTGGTGGGTTCTGATACCATAGGTTTATAGTGTGGTGGGTTCTGATACCATAGGTTTATAGTGTGGTGGGTTCTGATACCATAGGTTTATAGTGTGGTGGGTTCTGATACCATAGGTTTATAGTGTGGTGGGTTCTGATACCATAGGTTTATAGTGTGGTGGGTTCTGATACCATAGGTTTATAGTGTGGTGGGTTCTGATACCATAGGTTTATAGTGTGGTGGGTTCTGATACCATAGGTTTATAGTGTGGTGGGTTCTGATACCATAGGTTTATAGTGTGGTGGGTTCTGATACCATAGGTTTATAGTGTGGTGGGTTCTGATACCATAGGTTTATAGTGTGGTGGGTTCTGATACCATAGGTTTATAGTGTGGTGGGTTCTGATACCATAGGTTTATAGTGTGGTGGGTTCTGATACCATAGGTTTATAGTGTGGTGGGTTCTGATACCATAGGTTTATAGTGTGGTGGGTTCTGATACCATAGGTTTATAGTGTGGTGGGTTCTGATACCATAGGTTTATAGTGTGGTGGGTTCTGATACCATAGGTTTATAGTGTGGTGGGTTCTGATACCATAGGTTTATAGTGTGGTGGGTTCTGATACCATAGGTTTATAGTGTGGTGGGTTCTGATACCATAGGTTTATAGTGTGGTGGGTTCTGATACCATAGGTTTATAGAAAGATGAATTATTCCACCATAGTTTTCTTATTACTACATGTATTTGGTGTATGGTCCAATTATGAACATTTCAAATTTGAATTTGAATACTCTAAATATAAATATATATGTATGTAAATGTTACATACCTTACAAATTTCTTCCCTTTGGATTGGAAAGTTTGTATCATTCAAAAATCCATCCAAAAGTAAGGAAGACATTCCAATATTTGGTATACATTTCTGTGATGAGAGCTGATATGGCTGTAGTAGCTGAATTCCTATTTGTTTTGCAGTGTGAGTCTGATTCAAACCCCTTCCAAATTGCGGTAAGACCTGGTGAGGGATTTCAACCAGAAGCTGAAGATCAACGATCTCTGTCCAACATTGATAGTAGACTGAGGACAATTCTACCCCCAGAGGACTATGAGTCAGTCACGAGCTCCTCCATGTGTAGTACCCCCCAGGTAAGGTGACAGTCTTAAGTCTGACTCCTCCATGTGTAGTCCCCCCCAGGTAAGGTGACAGTATAAGTCTGACTCCTCCATGTGTAGTTCCCCCAGGTAAGGTGACAAGTCTAAGTCTGCCTGCTCCATGTGAAGTACCCCCAGGTAAGGTGACGGTCTAAGTCGGACTGCTCCATGTGTAGTACCCCCCAGGGAAGGTGACAGTCTAAGTCTGACAACTCCATGTGTTGTACCCCCCAGGTAAGGTGACAGCCTAAGTCTGACACCTCCATGTGTAGTACGCCCAGGTAAGGTGACAGTCTAAGGCTGACACCTCCATGTGTAGTACCCCCCAGGTAAGGTGACAGGCTAAGTCTGACTCCTCCATGTGTAGTACCCTCAGGTAAGGTGACAGTCTAAGTCTGACCCCTCCATGTGTAGTACCCCCAGGAAAGGTGACAGTCTAAGTCTGACTCCTGCATGTGTAGTACCCCCCAGGTAAGGTGACAATCTAAGTCTGACAACTCCATGTGTTGTACCCCCCAGGTAAGGTGACAGCCTAAGTCTGACACCTCCATGTGTAGTACGCCCAGGTAAGGTGACAGTCTAAGTCTGACCCCCCCATGTGTAGTACCCCAGGTAAGGGGACAGTCTTAAGTCTGACTGCTCCATGTGTAGTAACCCCAGGTAAGGTGACAGTCTAAGTTTGACAACTCCATGTGAAGTACCCCCAGGTAAGGTGACAAGTCTAAGTCTGACTCCTCCATGTGTAGTACCCTCAGGTAAGGTGACAGTCTAAGTCTGACACCTCCATGTGTAGTACCCCAGGTAAGGTGACAGTCTTAAGTCTGACTGCTCCATGTGTAGTACCCCCAGGTAAGGTGACAGTCTAAGTCTGACTCCTCCATATGTAGTACCCCAGGTAAGGTGGTAACACAGTCTAAGTCTGACTGCTCCATGTGTAGTACCCCCCAGGTAAGGTGACAGTCTTAAGTCTGACACATCCATGTGTAGTACCCCCAGGTAAGGTGGTAACACAGGCTAAGTCTGACTGCTCCATGTGTAGCACCCCCAGGTAAGGGGACAGTCTAAGTCTGACTGCTCCATGTGTAGTACCCCCAGGTAAGGTGGTAACACAGTCTAGGTCTGACTGCTCCATGTGTAGCACACCACAGGACTTGAAACATAATCTTGGCTAAAGACTCTTTCCTATGTAATGCTGCAAGTTTTCCAACAAATGGTAATTCATTCTTGGTCATTAACTCCTGCATATGTAGAATAGTACTGGCCTATACCTCAGTTTTAAAAGCTTCGCATCGAAAGTTCAAGGGATATAGAATTTCGACCCTTCTTACATACCCTATGTATGTACATATGTTACACTCTTTGTCATTGCTCTATCGACTTCATTTCTCAATGAAATTTCATGAAACTATATACAAGTGTTTGGTATGGCAATGCGTCAATGTTACTATTTTTAGAAGAAAAACTTTGTCATCGCTCTAGCGACTTCATTCCTCAGCGTGTAAATGCGAGGGGATTTGTGTCATTTGTGATGCCTTGTTATAACATATTCTAGGTTATTAACTCCCCTATATATAAAATCCCTAGAGGTGATGTATTCTTGGTTGCTGACTGTTCCATGTCCAATACTCCTGTATTTGTTAACATACTGTAGGAACTCTATATTTTAATGTGTTATAATTACTTTTCAGAAAACAATTTCTTTTTTGTATGGTATTTTGGTTCTTCTTGAATTTTAATCAGAATGATATGATGAAAAGGATTTCTATAATCCTTCAAACTGAGCATGTCACATTCTGTTGATGATGTTGCACTTGTAAGTAGTGTAGGAACATGTTACGTGTACGTGTTGTTATATGTTTACACATTTGAATCTTTCTTAAAAGACATTTTTACTGTGCACAGTTTTGTTTAGTAATTTTCCAGTGGAATATATAAAAAAAAATGAAAATTTGAACATTTTTTTTATTAAGCAATATTCATTGTTCAAACATTTCTTTGGTGTGTGAACCAAAAAACTATTTTAATCAAATTTTGAAGAAGAATATTAATTAACAGTAAACTTAACTGTTGTGATTTAACCCTTTCATTACAACATGCACAGGCTTCAACACCTATGTTGTTTATTTCACATAACTAAGGCCATGTTGATTTTTGAGTGATACAAAATAGTTACATATTTGACAATATTGTATAAATTGTCATGAAAAGGAAATTTCAGAGTCATGATTCAACATGTGCACCACGTTGAAATCCTGTTAGCACACAGACAGGAGATTAATTTCATTTAAAGTTATCAATTTATTTTTTTGTATAAAATTTGATAGTTTCACCTATGTTTTAACCATTAAGCAGCACACTTCTTGAAAAATAAGATATGATATGGCCATCAAACTATCGGTATTATTACTGAGAATGGTAATTGCTCAATGGTAAGGAAGGTGCACAATAAATGTTGTTTTTATGAATGCACTTTTAATTATCTATATCACTACATCATCAGTAAAGCTGTAGGTAAACTTGACTTATGATTGAATCCATGGCTCTTCTTAGGACAAGTGGGAGGGTTGAACCATACCTTGGTTTACTGTTAGCCCTAGATTTCTGTAGAAAAAGTAAAGCTATTCCTGTTTTCATTGAATTTCAAAAATCATGTATAAGATGGAATGTAAGCTTTGAACATTTCTCAGATAAAAATCTGAGATACATTCATCTTCTGAGTTATATCTTGCATAAATCACACCTGAAAAAAGGCAACCTTATTTTCTTCATAAAAATCTAACATTTCACTGGGAAAATTAAATAAACAATGACAATATCACAAGATGACTTCCTTAGAGATAGACATACATGATTTACCATCAAGTCTGTTATAATTTTATCATCATGTCTTTGTCAGTAATTCCATATTGTGTTTATATAAAGACATAATCTTACATGTTGTCAGTTGTGTTCACAAGCTTAATTTGCATATGTCTTTGCACTTTTTTCTTTATTTTGTCCAGTACAAATTGTTTAGACCAGTGGTTGATATTAGGGCTGAACGGTTTGGAGAGAAAGCTCTCCTGGAGAACAAAGATCAGAGAGAGCTGCGTGCCCGTCTCCAGGCTGTGGAGGAGGAGCTAAGCAAGCTCCACACGTCTCATGAGCTGGAGGTAAACTGTGTGCAGTGCTTAGTACCTTAATGTTTACTAACCATAATCATACACGAGTTTAATTTTCCATAGATTTAAGGACATTGATATCAATAATTTTCTGTATCAATGATCTGTGATGACAGGGAGAAGAACTACCCCCAGGATGATTTACTCTCAAAAATTGGAAGTGATGTAAAATTGATAAATATATTTAATCAACATGTAAGTATTCAAAACACCAAACACTGCTTGTTCCTAAAACATTCTTTATTAAATGACATTCATGTAATCTTGACCGCTAGTTGGCCACTTTTCATCACAATTTCTGAAAGCTTGATAAGTATTTATTAAAGATGTACCTATATGAAGGTACTGCATCTTTTTTTTCCATCGTCATTGTCTGTAAAATGTTGTCATGTTTTGTTCTGCTTCCTGCAACAAACTTAAAAAATATATTTTTATATCTAAGCACGCTACACTCACAGTATAGTTATATGCCACACATGTTGTACTTTCTGTGAAATACATCTTCACTTGTCTTAAAACAGATATTATTTATTTTCTAAAATACTAATGAAACATAAACAGTATCAAAATTACCTTGTAGAACCCTGGTAATGGTGGTGACTTTCTTTAAGATGCTTATTTCTGACTTTAGGGCTATCCAAAAAAAAAAAAGTAAAGGGGAGACAAGGAGATCAACACTTTTTATTAACAATTATTGTTCCTATGCCCATTAAACAAAATGTTAAATATGTTTTGTCCCACCACCCTTCTATTTAAAATATATCATTAGAGCCTTGATGCCCACCCCCATATACTCAAATGTAAATTAGACCTTACTTAGTAGCACCATACAAGTTTTAGGAAAATATAACACCATACAAATTTTAGGAATTAAAACTGTATGTTATTTATGTGCATTTTTCCTGTCACAAGTATGTAGTAAGATTGAAACATGACTGGTGTCCTGAATATAAGCAAATCAAAGATGTCTGCCTTATTGAGTTATACCCCATGTTTCAGATCTCTGAGACCCCACAACTAGGGGAGGATCAGTTACAAGACCTATTGGACCAGTGTGCTCGGTCTTTTTCCAGGACAACATTCAACAGTACAAATTCCAGGACAACATTTAACGATACAGACTCAGATGCAGGTTATTCTGTGTCAGAGGCAGGGTTGTCTACAGACACCACTCCCAGGTATAACTTTTAACATTAATAGTCTGTGACAGAAGTAGCAGTCCCTCCACATGGGATGATTTTACTGAGCTTAAAAACTAGTATTTATACTTCTTTTAAAACCATGTTTAGATGCCCGACAAAAGTTGCCCCCGACACCGGGGATGGAACCTGCACTGGCCAGCATACCGTGAGCCTAGGTTCATTTGCTATCAAACATTTAAACTTCTGGGTCACTTGGGCTGGTGTGACTTCAATTCTTATTGCATTTTAATCAAACTTTATACAATGGATACACGAAAGCAATAGTAATATTCAACTGAAATTATCAAGTATGGTAATACCTAGTTTGTATTTTAGGGAGTCAAAGTCATTGTTTCTATTTACAGAGAATTGTCAAATTATGAAACAAATTTACATGGCTGTGTGGCATTAATGTCTTACAAAATTTTCTATAATTACATGACATCTGCTTAACCATGTGACATACCACTTCCTATAAACTTTACTCTTGGTCAAAGTCACAGTCAGATGACAAAAGTGTTACAATGTATATTTTTGTGGTGCAGGTTTTGATTCCAGCATAACTGCAAAATAATGTTTTGATGAAACTTCATGCTTATACAAGTTTTATACAGGCCTACCTTTACAATTTCTTTTTATTGAGAAAATATGGCCTGTCAAAATATGATAAAATGTTTATCCAAAAAGTACTTGCAGTATGACGGTGACCCTTGTTTGATGATGTGGTACATACTATTGTTATATCGGTAGTTTAAGCTGTTCTTTGCAAAGGTGTTATTTGAGCAAAACACAAGACAAAGGCAGTTCTACTGATTTCAAAAGCAAAAATGCAAGTTAGAGGATGAAGAAGAAAAGAAAAAGGAAAAAAGGAACCTGTATCATTTATTTTTCTTGAGTACAATGTATCTATATCACAGCATTTATTAATTCATTTTAGGACACCAAAATCTGCCCGGGAGGTTTTGATGGAAAATCCTCCCCATCTGCCTAAAGCTACCCTCCAGAAGTTGTTGGCAGAGGCTTACTGCCCTGCTGCCAGCAGGCTGTCCACCCTTCGGGAGGAGGAAGAGGAGACCGAGGAGACAGAGGCTGGAGGTCAGTAGATAGAGAATTGTATTTTCCTATTGTCTGTAGATTATAACAACTGATCAGAAATGTAGAAAGTAATACACGTACATGTATGATGAAACTTTCAATGTAATACATTCACACTGAATGATATGTTGTGTCACCATTTGTATAATTATCAAAACACGATCAATGTTAATTCATATATTAATTGAATTTTAAATTACATCAATTTGTGACTAGAAGTTATCATTATACTAACAATCAACTGTAAACTCACTGAAAACATTGTACTTAACAGACTTTTTTACAGCTTAAGATACTGTAAACAATATACCAGTAATATGAAGAGTGTTTGACACTTTCGTATTGCTGGTGGTTACTTTAAATCGCAACTTTTATTTTTACATTGTGTAGAGGCTCATTTGCAATTTGAACGTTTAATAAATATATTGTATTACTTATTTATATAATTACTACATCTTTTTAGTACATTCATTGCTAATGTAATAATAATGTATTGTCCTTGTTGCTCAACAGCTGAGGAAAATGAAATTGTACCCATTAGTGCTGAAACATGGAAGTTCATTGGTCAAGAAAGACTTGAAAATGAGGATGACGGAGAGTATATGGACCATTTAGATTCCATTCGGTCAAGTCTTCAGTCCAGCTCGTCTGTGTCCAAAAGTAGAACCAACAGTCGTAACATATACCATGAACATCTGTCTTCTGGGGATGTGTTGAGTCCGAGACATAGTAGATCGAAGAGTCATGAGTCACGGACACCTTTCTTACCTGAAATTAACCGTTCCGGAAGTTTGGTGTCCCAGGAAATGAATAATCATGTCAGTAATCGTCCTTCCAGTAATGGTAGTAACAGAAGCTCTATATTGACAGTGCGTAATAGTTTCACTGATGTGAGTTCCGACTTCCAGGATGGAACAGAGTTGATGTCTGTAAATGGAGATACACCAGTACCGAACCCACCCAGTAGTGATCGCAGGTCTAGTAGAAGTAACAGGTCCAGGGTGAAATCCCCTCCCCTTACCTCGGAGTCACGCTCACAGTATGCCTTGTGATACAGCTCTAAGTCCTTTGTGATAGAAATGATGGGAAAGTATTTTACCCTATTATTGTTGGACTGTGTTATTGAACAGATGGTTTCTTTACATATCTGCTGTTATTCCATTTGAGTATTAAAACTGTATGCTGATTTGTTAGTCAGTGTAATAGGTGGTTAATAAGTACACATTAAATACTGTTTGAATTCGGGAGGTAATTTTCTGGAACCTAAAAATGTTTTCATTTCCATTGTGGCTAAACTTTTACATCCATATCATTATGATTAAGTTCTCTATTATTGATCTACATACTGAATACCAGGAAATTTTTGCTATGTATTTATTTTCATGGTTTTTGAGGTTATAGAGGAACCATAAATATATACATGTAAACAACGAAAATATGAAACATTCCATGAACAATTCACACTCATAAGTACCAGCAGGCTGTGAATGTTTTTTTATCAATTAAATAATTTCTGAATATGTATTTTTGCAAAATGAACTTTAAGTACACATGAAAGTTTCATTTTATACAGCAAACCTTTCTGGATGGTGTTCTTCTATGAATGTATCGTTCAAAACTTCGAATTTTAGAGAATTTCATGAGGTTCTTATAAAACTATGTTTGAATGGTTTTGGGCTATTCTAGAAATAAAAATATGAGAAAGTACATGAAGACATTTTTTTGAGCCCCTCCGTTCCCAACTATATTTTTGCATGAATGTTTACGGTTATTTTAGACCTGAAAACCCATATTATCTATTTGAAGTGACTCTCTTCCCATTTATATTCATCAAAGTGTTTTGCTTATAATTAGCTGGCAGATAATTATTTCATTTCTCCATTTTGAAAAAAAGAGAAGAATTTAAAGCCTTTTGGTGAAGACAAGCGGTACCATACAGTTATAATTTGCTGAAAACAACTATTTAGTTTCCATAACTAATACAACCCCTGATAGTATGACTGATATGCATTGCACCACTGAATATTTCTTGCATATAGGCACCATTTGACATTTTTCATCTCACAATTATATAAATCCAATCCTATTTTAGAAATGTGTTGTTGCATAACTTACTCTCACACATTTGTCAGTTACATGTGAATTAAGTATGAAGCGATGTACAATCAGAGACAGACTCGGTTCATTTGCTGTAATGTTTATATGGTTACATTATGTGTACTTTTAAGTGTATCATAATGTATCTTACAGAATACCAACTAGTATGTTAAGCTAGCAGCCTACACATTGTACATACATGTCTGGGCTGAAGAGAACTGTAACAGCCTACACATTGTACATACATGATGTGTTTGGGCTGAAGGGAACTGTTGTGTGGTGGTAGTTTGCTGCAGTTTCCACTTTCTTTCATTTAAGTGAACAAACTCAAATTTTATGCAGAAAAAACACTTCAAATGTATAGCTTCTAATGAGAGAAAGTTATAAATGGGTAATACAAATGTACTAAGTTACCATTTCATGCTTTTCGTTGGAGAATAATTTACTACATGTAGCCTGAGATCAGTTTGACCGAATGACGAAGTATATTGTGAACCGATTATTTATCAATCATTGCTTAAATGTGTTGATAATGGTATCATCTACCATGAATCTTGACCAGCCAATTCTGGACACTACTGTCAAATGTTTGTCTCCTTGACATTGTCTAGTTTATATTTATAAACAATATTATAAGGTGCTTATGGATATCAGTACACAGCTTACTCTACATAGTATTTTCCACTGTAAACAGTCAAATTAACCCAATGGGAATATGGATTTTACCGGTAAAACATAGCTACACTATATAATTAGGCAATATTTTTCCAGTGAGCAGTATTTTAAAATATATCCAGGTATATTTTTGTTAGTAATTCTCAGCAGCCCATATCAGTTTTTGTTGACTGTTTCACATAATTACAAGCTAAAGAATCCTGAATCACTCTGGTATTCATACCTGTAGTCCTATGGTTGACATATGAATTTAGTAGGATCAACATCCTGTGGTAATGCTATGTGAATATCCAACCCAACACTGTTAGTGACTGATTACTGACCTCATCATTTGATACCTCTGAAATTTAACGACAGATGTTGAGATGTCTATCTATTGTAAGAAGAATATTTAAATAATTGCTTTCCTTACATCATTTGTTTTAATTTCTTAAAAAAACACCTAGTGTAAATGCAAGTATTATACAACATGTAGTTGCTTTCAAATGGAAAAAAGTAGGCAATAAAAATGTCAGTTCATCAGAGGAAACACTTCATATTGCAGTAATACAGCTGGCATTCATAACTTTATGTATGTTTATTATCGGAGAACAGTTCATTGTATATCCATACTGTATGATTGTTTGTAATAGTGTGAAAGATATGTGTGATGTGGATCCTTGTTTTGGATAGAATAGTAATGCTATAGATTTAATTGGATAATGTGAGATTGCTCTGGATAATATCATATTGTTTTGGATAATGTGAGGTTGTTTTGGATAATATGAGATTGTTTTGGATAATGGGAGATCGTTTTGGATGATGTGAAATTGCTCTGGATAATGTGAGATCGTTTTGGATGATGTGAAAATGCTCTGGATAGTGTGAGATTGTTTTAGATAATGTGAAATTGCTCTGGATAATGTGAGAATGTTTTTGATTATGTGAGATTGCTCTGGATAGTGTGAAAGGTATCAAAAGTTGCTTATGTGGTGTGAAAGATTATTCTGATAAATATTTTTGCCAAACCAGTCCTATTTATAAGCACATTATTTATTTAGTACTGATTGTATCAGTACTTATTAACACGTTTAATGCTGTAAAATAGTCATTAAATTCTTCTAAAACTGTACTGAGTTGCATTATTACTTATAATATACTTATCTGTCCTGTATATCATTGGCAAAGGCTGGATTTTCCTAACTTGTATTGTATCAGTGTCAAACATATTTCTTTGTCGATCCAGGAGTTTGGGAAAGGGAGGGTGGGGGTGGGGTGCCAAGTTTTTTCAAAGTTATGTCTGTATACTGCACTTAGGCCAAAGCCTGTGTGAGAGAGCCTGAGGGGTCCTTACAAAGGTTTAAAATTTGTAATTTACTTTGAAAAATGTGTATTAAGGTGTAGAGAAAAAAAAAATGTAGAAAACCTGCATTTGGAAATTACCTGGAGTAAGGCTAAACGGATGTATAATGTTATGTACTTTATCCTCAATGCTGAGCAGAGAAAAGCAAACTTGTTTCTGAGGTTGTTAAGATATAAACTTTCAGTTAAACAAATTATGTGAAGATCTGAAATCAAATGTTCAATGCTTAAAAAGCAGGGTGTTGAACCTCTCTGCCCAAACCCTTCCCACAAACTAGATCTACTAATCTGGTTGATTGTATATCAGTGTGAAACATATAATTGACCTACCGGGTATATGTTGGTGTGAAACACATAATGTACCTGTATTTCAGTGTCAAACATAATTTACTGTACCGTGGCATCCATCATCCATCTTTCAATTTCTTCAAACAACCTCTTCTTCTCAACTGCTGATTGGAATTTAACCAAATTTGACCGGAAGTGTATCCCTAGTTGGTATGTATTCAAAATTGTACAATCATCAGGGGGGTGAGGGGCCAGGCCAAAAATGGGTAATTTGGCCGTTTATTATTGCTTTTAGCAACTTCGTCTTTGGAACTTAGAAAAGGATAATAACCATATTTAGTTGGAAGCATTCTCAGTTCGGTGGGGATTCAGGATTGTACACCATGGAGGAGCAAATCCTTAAGTTGAGGCTGAGGAGCCAGGCAAAAAGTGGTGGTTTGACCATATTCTTCTCTAGAACTTTATAAAGAGAATGATATTAACCATATTTGGTTGGAAGCATTCTCATGTGGTGGGAATTTAAAATTAAACAAATGAAGGGTGGAGGGGTAGGACCAAAAAGGGGTGTCTATATTACTAAGCTTCTTCTCTGGAACAAAGGGAATGATTTAACCATATTAAGTTGGAAGCATTCTCAGGTGGTTGGGACTAAAAGTTGTACAAATGGAGGGGCTGAGGGGTAATTTAATTTTTGGCAATATTGCTTAAAACAGGTTTATTTGGTTGGAAGCATTCTCAGGTGGTATTAGGATTCCAAATTATACAAATGGAGCTGGGGCTCAGGGCACGGCTTAAAAAAGGTTAATTTGGCAATATTTCTTTAAATGACTTCTTCCCTGGAATGAAGAGAAGAATATCAAACATATTTGGTTCAAAGGATTCTCAGATGCTGGGGATCCAAAATGTACCAGTTGAACAGCAGACCCCCAGGGATGAGGGGTGTGGCCAAAGAGTTTTTAACTTGGAAATGATTAAGATCCCCTCCCTATAACCATACATAAAATTGCTGAGTGTATAGAGACGAGTAGACAACACATGGATATGCTACCATGATTAAACTGGGGTCTGGTCCCACCCAAATAGACTTGGTCCCTACTGGTCATAACTTTGAAGCAGGTGAGATCTTCATTCCATAACCATATATAGTACAACTTCTGGGCATGAAGAGACGAAAACATTTATGACGATGAGAGTTGAACTGGGGGTGTCATCCTCGGGTTACCGGTTTCCGCGCACTTAAGAAGCATCCACAATTTCGTACTCATATCGGCAGAAAACTGTTGAAATTACGGATGACTGTCATAAACATGTATACAATCTAATGGAATAAAAAACTAGCAACATAAAACTGTATTTAAAAAAAATCAGAACAAACAATTTTTAACAAATTTCTCCCGTCGGAGGTGGCCGTCATATGTTTCCGTGTGTCTATTTTGAATTAGTGTTCAAAAAAAGATAACTCAAATACACTAAAAAGAAATTCTCTACAGTGACCTGCAAGAACAAAAGCTTCGTTTGAAATAATAAAAACATACCTTTGATCGTCAAATTCATTATCAAAACAACTTTTTTTTAAATTTCACATTTTTAATAGATTTTTCAAGATGTCAAATTGAACGAATTCATGTATTTTTTTGAATTTATTTATTATATTTATTTAGTTATGATATATAATCTGTTATTATTATTTTTCTGCAGTTTTATATCGGTTTTGGTTGATGGTAAGTTATTTCTCATTTTGTTCTGTTTAAAATTGGTGAAAATTGGAAGTTCATTGCATCAGACCGTAACATTGAGGTTTACGTTTCATTGAAACTACAGTTTATCGATATAAGAATGTCTCATTCAGTGGCTCTTCGGAAGTGGAAAAAAATCGGCGAGGAGATGTGGCTTCATTTGCATACGACATTTTCGTACGTTTGTCTGACTACAAAAAACCCCGGTTCATGAATGAAATATATCACTGTGTTTTTCAGGTATGTACGGAGCCCCCGAGGGGACATGGTAAAACATTTACTAAACCGTGCGCACGGATTAACAAACCGTGCACACGGATTACCAAACCGTGCTCACGGATTGACAAACCGTGCGCACGGATTACCAAACCGTGCACACGGATTGACAAACAGTGCGCACGGATTAGTAAACCGTGCGCACGGATTACCAAACCGTGCGCATGGATTAACAAACCGTGCGCACGGATTACCAAACCGTGCACACGGATTATTAAACCGTGCGCACGGATTAACAAACCGTGCACACGGATTAACAAACCGTGCACACGGATTA